AATATAAATATAAATAATATAAATATAAATATAAATATAAATATAAATATAAATATAAATATAAATATAAATATAAATATAAATATAAATAAACAATTAGTGGGCTTTCAAAAACCCAGTTAATAGCTCATTTTTGAATTGCCCCCATTAAAAATCAAATTGCCCCCCCCAATGGGGTGCGGGCCCCACATTGGGAACCACTGGTTTAAGAGCCACAAAAATGCTAGAGCCTCCAGCGATACAATGAGAGACTCACAACTTGAGACGTACCCCTGATATCATCTTTCGCACAGTAGCAGCTTATTCCTGGAAAGCAGTGACAAACTCCGTGTCCTGCCTTGATTCCAGTTCCAAGGCTCCCTTTCAGATGACCTCCAATAATGTTGGTTCCTAAATCAAAGACAGATTGAGGTAAGTTTAACCGAGGCATGCAGCGCTCAGTACCAAAATGGCGTTTTCCAAATGAATATTGGAAACGTTGGCTTATCAAAACAGCTGAAGCAAGTCTTGAGTGAGAAAACTGACCCCTAATAGATTAACAGAATCGGAAGGGACCTTGTAGGTCATCTAGTCCAACCCACCATGCCCGAGCAGGAGACCCTACACCAGTGATGGCTTTTTGTTGTTGGGTGTCAAAAATGTGAGCACGAGTGCACAATAGCGCATGTGCCGACATCCATAATGCAAAGTGCCCCCCCATATGCGCCTGCGCGCGCAACCCCCCCATGCTCACACACACACTCCCACACACACGCACCACACTGCTCGCCTCCAAGCTGAGCTTGATATTTCATCCAGAAGGCCGGGGGAGGCTGTTTTCCCCCTCCCCAGGCTTCAGGAAAGCCTACGGAGTCTGGGGAGGGCAAAAAAACGGGCCCAATGGGCCTACTGGAAGTTTGTTTCTAAACTTGGGGCTTGGTTCATTTCCTTCCTGTTGGGCCTGTTTTTCGTCCTCCTCGGGCTCTGGAAGCTTTCCTGAAGCCTGGGGAGGGCGAAAACGGCCTTCCTCGGCCCTCCGGATGGCCAAAAATCAGCTGGCTGGTGTGCGCATGTGCACTGGAGCTGTGCCGGCAGATATGGCTTCACGTGCCACCTGTGGCATGGGTTCCACCACAAAACCGCATTCGACTAAACCACGCTCGACGAAACCGCGTAGCTGACGTCATCAACAGGG